ACATACACCCCTACACACACACCCCTACATGTACATACATGCCTACACACACACCTACATGTACATACACCCCTACACACACACCCCTACATGTACATACACCCCTACACACACACCCCTACATGTACATACACCCCTACACACACACCCCTACATGTACATACATGCCTACACACACACCTACATGTACATACACCCCTACACACACACCCTTACATGTACATACACCCCTACACACACACCTCTACATGTACATACACCCCTACACACACACCCCTACATGTACATACACCCCTACACACACACCTACATGTACATACACCCCTACACACACACATACACACACACCCCTACACACACCCTACATACACATACACCCCTACACACACCCTACATACACATACACCCCTATATATACACCCCTACATACACACACCCTGTATACACACACCCCTACATACACCCTACATACACACCTACAAAAACACACCTACACACACATACACCTACACACACACCTACACACACCCTACATACACCCACTACACACACACCTACACACACATACACCTATACACACACCTACACACACCCACTACACACACCTACACACACACCCTACATACACACACCCCTACATGCACACACACGCCCCCCTACACACACACCTACACACCGGTCTCCCAGCCTGGGCCTCTCCCCATGGAGTGCCCCCTCTGCCTTGCAGCCAAGGAGCGCCCAGCCCTGTGTCGGACCAAGGCTTCAAAGCCCCTGCTGACCCCACCACCCATAAGATCAAAAGTGAAATTCCTCGGTGGGTCAGTTTGCTTGGGCCGCCATAACAAACTCTCACAGACCAGGCAGCTGAAACAACAGATGTTTATTTCCCACAATCCTGGAGGCTGGAAGTCCAAGATCAAGGTGTGCGTGGGGCTGGTTCCCCCTGAGGCCTCCTCCTCAGCTTCCAGACGGCATCTTCTCCCCATGTCCTCCCCGTGTCCTCAGGTGATTGTCTTTCTGTGAGCATCTGTGTCCTAATCTCCTCTTCTTAGAAGGATTCCAGTCAGACTGGATCAGAGCCCACCCTAGTGACCTCATTTTCCCTCCATTATCTCTTTAAAGACCCTGTCTCTGGCCAGACACAGTGGCTCATGCCTGTAATCCCAGCACTTTGGGAGACTGAGGCAGGAGGATTGCTTGAGGCCAGAAGTTCAAGACCAGCCTGGGCACCATAATAAGACCTCATCTCTACAAAATAATTTTTAAAAATTAGCCAGGTATGGTGGGGCATGTCTGTGGTCCCAGCTACTTCAGAGGCTGAGGGAGGAGGATTGCTTGAGCCCAGGAGGTGGAGGCTGCAGTGAATCCTGAGGGTACCATTGCACTCCAGCCTGGGTGACAGGGTGAGACCCTGTTTCCAACAAATAAAATAAAATAAAATAAAATAAAAAGATTCTGTCTCCAAATACAGCCATACTCTGAGGTCCCGGGGGTGAGAACTTTGGCATATGAATTGGGGGAAGACACAATTTACCCCATGACACTGGGCATGAGATCCAAAGGCCTTTGCAATCCGGGCACCATCTTCCTTCCCAAAGCCAGATCCCGGGGGCCATGCCATGTGGGGTGTCCCAACAGCGGGAAAATTTGCCGTGGTGGCCCCCAGTGGAGGTCCTGGCATCCTTGTCTCCAGAGGTCAGAAATGCTTAAAGTAAGCATGGGCTGCCCTCCCTGCCCTGGGCCTCCTGTCCACTTGAAAGCACACACTTAGGAGCAGGCTTGGTCCTGGCTGGGGGAGTAGAAAGTTGCCCTGGACCGGGAACCCAAACACCAAGGGAGCAGCAGTGGGGAAGAGTTCTGTCCTGGCCCCACACACTGGCAGACCATGCTGGTGCTCCACGTCATCACTGTGACAACAACTCTGCAGGGCAGGAGGTGTGACCCCCATTTCACAGATGAGGAAATGGAGGCTCCTCAAGGACACAGGGCTCACCCGAGGTCACACTCAGGAGGGAGGAGCTGCACATGGGCCCACAGGTTCGTGTGCCTGTTACGCAGTCACAGACCAATGCGCTGAGGCAGCAGGGTTTGCAGCAGAGAAAGAGTTTCAGGATCGCTGGGAGCCAAACTGGGAGATGGGACCCTCGAATCCATCTCCCCAAGGAGTTCTGAACTGCAGTGTTTTGGCGTTTTTTTTTTCTTTTTTGGTTGTGTTCCAATAAACTTTATTTATGAACACTAAATATTCATGTTAATTTTCATGTATCATAAAAGTCTTTTTAAAAAAGCATTTAAAATTATAAACACAATTCCTAGCTCACAGGCCGTAGAAAGCAGGCAGCAGGCTGGATTTGGTCCACAGGCCATAGCTGGCTGTCTCTTATACAGGCTTTTATACGTTATGCAAAGTGTTTCAAATTCCAGAGACTTTGGATACTTTTCTTTTTTTAGATTTCTCATTTAAAAATATATACAATGCAAGTTTTCTTTCTGGATCAATATACTCACATGAGAGAAAATAATTCAGAAAAAAATATATTTCCTTACTTGAAAAAAGGGAAAAGTGCCAGGCATGGCGGCTCACACCTGTAATTCCAGCACTTTGGGAGGCCAAGGTAGGCGGATCACAAGGTCAGGAATTTGAGACTAGCCTGGCCAATATGGTGAAACCCCATCTCTACTAAAAAATACAAAAATTAGCCAGGTGTGGTGGTACATGCCTAGTCCCAGCTACTCGGGAGGCTGAGGCAGGAGAATGGCTGGAACCCAGGAGGCAGAGATTGCAGTGAGCCCAGATCAGACCACTACACTCCGGCCTAGGCAACAGGGCAAGACTGTGTCTCAAAAAAAAAAAAAAAAAAAGGTGGAGGGGAAAGCTGTAAAACAAATGTTTCATCTTAAAATATATAATTAGGAGATGTAAAATTAAAGATTAAAATTTTTATTCTATGCAACATAAAATAATATGCATAGATCTGGTACATAATTTATTAGTTTTTACTTTAGAAAAAAAAGACAGTGAGAAAAAGGTTTATAAATTTCTCAGTCCCTTTTATAAAAAGTTGCAACTAAAACCAGCCATCACTTACATGTACAACCATCAACTCTGAATATAATATTAATTATACCTAGGAACTGGAATTTACCTAGATGAGTTCTGGCGGTTTTTTGAAAAATGCACAATTATATCAGAGAACACTGTGTCTTCCACAATTTGTAACAATTTTGAAAAGGAAACTCCTGCTTCCATAATATAAGGAAACAAGAATACTCTTTCCATAGTCATCATCCTGTATTAAAAAAACCTGATAGTCTGATTTACCTTTATCAAAGGTAAAATGATTCACATTTGCATGGATTACTCTGATCCTCAGTAGTTCCTAAACACAAAATTTTGCATAAACCTTTATCTGGGTTTTCCAAAGCAAGTATTACACTGGCAGAAGTCCATGAGCTGAAGAAAAAGAAATTGAATATAAAAGGTTTACCAACGTTATCCTTTCTAATTTTACAACAGCTTCAGGTGTTGAGACCTAACTGGTTTCTGGTGCCTATCCACTATGAACTTCTAACACTTCTCAGTACCATCTTTTGGTGGTTGCTTTATTTTGCAACGTAGAAGATCCTTTCATCCAACTTCAATCATCTGTTCTTCCCCAGACTTCGTTTCATTATAATAATGAATTTTATAATCTTTAGCAAGTTGAATATATACTTTCTTTTGAGAACCAGACAGATTTTTCCCGTTTTCATTTACAGTCTTCAGCTTTGCCTGCGGTGAACCATCCTTAGCTTCTTGGAGGCTTTCAGCTACATAAATGGTATAAGCTGAACAAGGTCATTTTGGTTTTCCAAGCAGTTTTAACTCTCTCTCTTTTTTACTAAAGCTTTCCTTTTTAACTGTTCATGCATGATTTCTGTTTCCAAAGACATAATCTGACTTGGAGTTAGCTGTTCTTGAATTCTGCTTATCTCTTCTTTGTATGCCTGCCAGTCGACCCTATAAGCATCTTCATGTATTTTTTTCTCTGAGTTGGGAAGTTCCCTCCAATGCCCGGTGATTCTTCTAATTAGTTCTGTATTTTTTGCATCTGGGTTCTGAGCTTTAAATATGGGTAATTGTTCTTCAGAAAATCGAAGGTAAGAAGTTACAGATTTCTTTGGATAACTTGCCAAGGCAGATGAAAACCATTTCCATAAATACACAAAACTGAAGGGGAAGCGTAGTCGACTTCCACAGCTGGTACACAGCTCCGCCTGGACCTTCCCAGGGCGCTCGACATGCCCCACATGCTTCGAAGAAATGCCATCGCACCAGCGGACCAGGCAGTGGCCAGGTCCCAGTCTCAGAGAGCTTCCTGGCACAACAGACACCGGCAATGACAACTCGAACCTGCCTGCGACCCTCTGGAGTTTGTTATCATGCCTGCCACTCACGAGGCACTATGTCACTCAGGCTGGAGTGCAGAAGCTCGATCTCAGCTCACTGCAACCTCCGCCTCCCAGACTCAAGTGATTCTCCTGCCTCAGCCTTCCGAATAGCTGAGATTACAGGTGCGAGCCACCATGCCTCGCTGATTTTTGTATTTTTAACAGAAATGGGGGTTTCGCCATGTTGGCCAGGATGGTCTCGAACTCCTGACCTCAGATGATCCACCCACCTCGGCCTCCCAAAGTGCTGGGATTACAGGCATGAGCCACGGCGCGTGGCCCTGGACTGGGGTTTTTAAGGGGATCATGGAGGGTGAGGGGCTGGATACCTGGGGTCGTTGATGGGTTGAGGTGAGGGGAGTGTGGAAACGGCATTCTTTCGTGAGTCAGTTCCTCATGAGGTCCTTTGCATCAACTAGCATCAGTTGTTTCATTGGTGACCAGACCCTGAAGGAATATCTCAGAGAGAAAACATTTGGTGATGGTCAAGTTGTTATCTATAGAGTAGTTAAAGGGAGCTATAATCTAGATTCTACATGATTAGGACAATAGGCACCAAACAGCTATGAGGAAGTGAATCCGACAGCAAGCGGACCCAGTGATGAACGCTGAATTTGCCACAAGCTTGGTGTATTTTCGTTTCTCCCCCTGTTCTTCCCTGATTTATTTTATTTATTATTATTATTATTATTTTGAGACAGAGTTTCGCTCTTGTTGCCCAGGCTGGAGTGCAATGGCCCGATCTCAGCTCACTGCAACCTCTGCCTCCCGGGTTCAAGCGATTCTCCTGCCTCATCCTCCCTAGTAGCTGGGACTACAGGCACCCACCACCACACACAGCTAATTTTGCATTTTTAGTAGATATGGGGTTTCACCATGTTGGACAGGCTGGTCTTGAACTCCTGACCTCAAGTGATCCACCCACCTTGGCCTCCCAAAGTGCTGGGATTACAGGCATGAGCCACCGTGCCTGGCCTCTGATTAATTTTATAAAGTTTATAGGGATGGCCCAGCACAGTGGCTCATGCCTGTAATCTCAGCACTTTGGGAGGCCAAGGAAGGAGGATTGCTTGAGCCCAGGAGTTCAAGACCAGCCTGGGCAACTGTGAGACCCCCCATCTCTACAAAGACAGGGTCTTGCTCTGTTGCTCAGGCTGGAGTGCAGGTGCGCCATCTCAGCTCATTGCAACCTCCGCCTCCCGGATTCAAGCGATTCTCCTGCCTCATCCTCCCGAGTAGCTGGGATTACAGGCAGCCACCACCATGCCCAGCTAATACAGACGAGGTTTCACCATATTGGCCAGGCTAGTCTCGAACTCTTGACCTCATGGTCTGCCTGCCTCGGCCTCCCAAAGTGCTAGGATTACAGGCGTGCCTGCTCATCATCTTTAGAACACCTGTCACTATCTGAATTATCTTTATTACTGGTTCCCTTGTTTATAGTCTGCCTCTCCCAGCTAGATACAGAACAATGCCTGACACACAGCCCAGTCTTAGTGAACATGAGATGAATGAATAAACCCCAGCCACGAAGTTATAACGGAAGCTGCTGTGTGGACTCAGGGTGAACACCCGGCCAAGCCAGGCCATGCACAGTCCTTCCATGGGATTTTCCCAGCTGAGGCTGAAGGAAGACGTGCAGATCCTGTCCGGTGGCAGATGGCATGGCATGTGGCTCTGGAGCTCTCTGTCCCCTAGTAACCCCATCCCCACCCCCCAGGGGAAGAGGCTGCCCGACCAGAGGTAGATGTGCTGAGAGCAGCAGGGATGAGGCTAGAGATGTCCTGGGATCTCTGAGCCTTCTTTCTGTGTGCAAAACCACAGAGTCCTGACTTCCAGGAAATTCCTTTCTTGCCTCAGCATATTTGAGCCAAGGTCTCTGACTCATTAATAAAGGACCCTGATGGGCACAGATGGAACAAGGGGCCACGGGAAGGGTGGGGCCTCTTTACTATAAACAGGGTGCGGCAGGGCATGGTGGCTCACGCCTGTAATCCCAGCACTTTGGGAGACCAAGGTAGGTGGATCACTTGAGGTCAGGAGTTTGAGATCAGCCTGGCCAACACGGCAAAATCCCATCTCTACTAAAAATATAAAAATTAGCTGGGCATGGTGGTGGGTGCCTGTAATCCCAGATACTTGGGATACTCGGGAGGCTGAGGCAGGAGAATTGCTTGAACCCGGGAGGCAGAGGTTGCAGTGAGCCGAGATTGCGTCACTGCACTCCAGCCTGGGCGACAGAGCAAGACTCGTTCTCAAAATAAATAAATACATAAATAAATGGCACAAGCGAAATGGTCACTCAGCTGAGACAACAGAGACGGGACTCAGATCTGCTTTAGGGTTGGATTAGACCCCTCTAGGGGTCTCCTCAAGCCCCTGTGTGTCCCAGGGGCTCCCCCGCCCCTGCGGACCTCTGTTTCTCCCATTATAAAACGATGGGGTAGACGAGATGGCCCCTCGGCCAAGTCTGGTGGAAATGTGGCATCCGAACTGACTCCCAGTAGATTTCTGAACAGTCTACCCCATCACCCCACTGGAGGAGGCAGACACAGGCGGAGGACCACCGAGGCCCTGGGCACTGCTGGGCTGGTTCTATCCAGCGCCCTGCCTGGCAAAACCCCGCTACAGCTCATCAACACGCAGCAACTCCCCCCGCCCCCAGCCCGGCACCTCCAGTGTGGACAGTCGGCAGAGCTGCTCGGGTGGCTCTAAGACTCCCCTAATGAGATTCTTGACGATTTGGAAACTAACGATATGCTCAACTCATCTTTAATTGGCATGGTGCTGCTGGAGATGCCAGCGCGGGCGAGACGCAGGCCGGCTTTGACTCGAGCCATCATTATCGCTCTTTGGCGGCACCCAGTCCTCGCCCGCCCTCGCAGCCATCGCCCCCGCCGCCCCGCTGCCCACACCTCCTGTGGCTCAAGGCCGAAGAGCCAGGGAGTGGCAGAACCAAGGCTTGGACCTGGAGCTGCTGAATTCTGGATCCCCCGTGGGAAGACTCTGTACCCCTGGGATTCCCCGTGGGAGGACTCTGCACCCCTGGAGCCCCCGGGATCCCCCTTGGAAGGACTCATCGCTGCGGGATAAATGCATGCTGACTCCTCGATCACTCCCCTGGGCTACACCTCTTGGGGGCAGGAACCTCCTTGACCATGGCACTCTCCACTCCTCACACACGCAAGGGCTCACAGAAAGTTGCTGAAGAGTTGGAAGAATTCGGGGCTCCAGAATTCAGCAGCTCCAGGTCCAAGCCTTGGTTCTGCCACTCCCTGGCTCTTCGGCCTTGAGCAAATTGTTGAGCTCCTCCAAGCCCGGCCACCCGTCCGTAAAGGAGGAATGGGCACAGGGCACAGGTAACTTGTGGAATTGTTCAGAGTACTTACTGTGATGACACTGATGGGACCTGGCACACAGGAGGGGCTCAATGGTGTCTTCTGATTGCCCAGCTCTGTGTGGGGCACTCAGTAAGTAATCAATGGTGAGGCTGCAGCTGCTGCAAAGGGTCTACTCTGGCTGGGTCTCTGGTCTCTCTTGGGAGCTCAGTGACCAGCCTCTGCCCAACCCCAAGCCAACCCCGCCCCAGCCCCAGCCCAGCCCCAGGACAATCCCAGCCCAGTCCCAGACCAGCCCCCAGAGCAGCCCCAGCCCAGCCCAGCTCCAGCCCAGCCCCAGCCCCAGCCCATCCCTAGCCCAGCCCAGCCCAGCCAGCCCCAGGCCAACCCTCCCCAGCCCCGCCCCAGCCCAGACCCAGCCACTCCAGCCCCAGCTCACCTAACAGCCCCAGCCTCAGCCCAGCCCCACCCTCTGCCCAACCCCTGCCCATCTCCAGCGCAAACCCTGCGTAGCCCCAGTCCAAACCCTGCCCAGCCCAACCCTTGCCCAGCCCCAGCCCAGCCTCAGCCCTAGCTCAAGCCTAACACAACCCCAGCCTCAGCCCAGCCCCAGCCTGGCTCAGCCCCTGCCCAGCACCACCAGCGGCCACACAAGGCCAAGAGCCCCCCTCCCTGTTGCCTGGAGTCCCCAAGGCAGAGTGTCTCAGCGGAAGCTATGAGGTGCTTTGAGCTCCCCAGGTGCAATTGGAGGCCTTGTTATCATGATTAATATTTAATTTCTCATCAGGGGTGACCACCCAGCTGTCTCTATGCTGCCATTGTTCCAAATTTCCTCCTTTTCTATTTCTGATTCCTTCTCTTTTGTGAGACTGTGCTGACTTTGCCCTTAATAAATCTCATTTTATTCTTCTAATTTACTCAGACAAAGTTGGATAGTTTTAATATCATCTGAATTATTAGCTGTTCTGTCAGTTTAATGTTAACTGCAAATTTTGGTCAATGGATTTGCCATTCTGTCCTCCGGATCAGAAATCAACATGCTTTATAGGGGCAGCTCCCAGCGAGGGGTCCGGGAACCCATCCCAGTTCCAGCCGCGAGGGGCTGAACACCACCATTTTCGATGCCCGTCGCCCACGTTACCTGTGGCAGGGAGCAAACAACTGTGTGTGTGTGTGTGTGTGTGTATGTGTGTGTGTGTCAGAGGGAGGGGGGAGAGAGAGAGACAGAGGAGAGAGAGAGAAAGAAGAAAGAGAAAGGAGAGAAAGAGAGGAGAGAGAAAGGAGAGGGGAGAGAGAGAGGAAAGAGAGAGAGGGGAGAGAGAGGAGAGAGGAGAGAGTCTGGCTGCTGACCTCACCTGGATTAGAGGGGCAGGGGGCAACAGGGGAGCTTGGGGGTCACAGATAAGTGAGTGGAGGGAGGACAAGAAGGGAGTGACCTCCAGAGAGGCAGGGAACCAGAAGGTGCCAGACATGAAGAGGAAGAAGAGGAGGGGTAGGAAGAGGGGGAGAGAGGGAGAAAAAGCGGGAGAGGAGGGA